AATTGTGACTATTTGATCAAACCAAGAAACACTCTATAGAGAAACTGATGATGCCAAGAGAAAGATAGAAGAATAGAAATTTTTTAAAAGTGTCTCGCAAATGAGAATTCGCCCAGAATATATAGAAATGGAGGCAACCTTTTGAACAGGTCGATCCCCGTTGCGTAGCGGCAAACCCTTGTCGGGGTGGCAAAACATTCGCAAAACAAAAGATAACACATGCAAAATGATGAAAAATATCTAACACAATCTTGAGTTCATTTTCAATGACAAATGCTTTCCAATTACTGTGAAGCCTCGGGAAGCCACAGATTCCAATGTAAGGCATGTACCAGTTCTTGCCATCATGTCGGAGAATTACCCCAAACTCTTGCGCTAGGCTGCAGCGGAAATAATTTGGTAGGGGGATGCTGTTAGCATTAAAACGAATGTGAATATACAACAATAATTCAAACGACAACAGAAATGTTGGAAGCAAGAGTAACTGTGAATTGATAGGGGCAGTTGACATATGATTTTGACATAACCAGGTGGGAAAATGGCTCCCAGAAAGATAATGAATGTCATCTTACTCTTGAGAAGTTTTAGAGCTACACATGTGTTGACTACGTGGGTTCACCATTTCAACGCACAGAAATGGCTCCATCTAACCAAACCTAAAACAAGAGAAACCCTATTCATTTCTTTCCTTCTTTCGCCCCATGTCGCCACATGGAGGACCATGGCGATGTAGAAAAGGGGATGCTATCTGAAAGTTATTAGTTCAACCCTAAAATCACCTAATAGGTGAATAACGCTGAATTAAATTTATCAATTAAAAACAACAAATCACTTTTTAAGTGTTCTACATGTTTAGTCAATCAAGTCAAATTATCCTATGTTGAATTGCCGCAATAAATAATTAAAGTAGTAAATAGCACAATATTTGATGACGGAGAAAACCCTCAATAGGTAAAAACTTCGGGATCAAACCAGTAGTTTTCACTGTATACAATAAAAACTTACAGTATGATCCAATCTAGAAAACTCACTAGACTCGCCTATCTAATTCCTGCAATCTCCAAGATCCGCTGGAACGTGCTTCACTCACACATGCCCTTGATCTTCTGGAATTATCTATCTCATGTGGAACACCAAGAATGTCTCGTTCTTGTACTCTTCCCGTGCTTCTGGTCCAACCTCCCTCAAACTTCAACAATCTTCTAAGCTTATTGAGAAAGAACCTTCCTAATGATATTTAGGAAGTGGATGTTTTGGATTATATGAATTTGATGTTTTTCCTAAACTTGTAGTTGATTGATCTCAAGAATCAAAAGGTAACTCTCAAAATTTGGATGTGTTCTTGGATCTTGGAATAATGATATAAGGATGTAAAACAATGATCAACCACACTTTTTGGACTTTTTAGGGTAGAATATACATAGGAAAAAATGTTCGAGATAAAAAGAGATAGAAAAACCAAGTGTTTGAAGCAAAACATATTTCTGAACGTCGACCGTCGCTCGAGCGCCAAGCCAGCAACATGCAAGCAGCAGTTGAGCAATTATCAGTATTTTTATCATAACTTTCTCTCCTAATGTTCGATTGAGATGATTCAAAATGATTTGGAAAGCTAATTCAAAGGGATATAATTTTTCTTGAAATAGTCTTGTCCAAATTCCAATATTTTCTATGTAAAAAATGCATTGCAAGTTGCGACTGAGAATTTGGAACATAATTTGTGTGGCTCTTTGACACTCTTTAAACTTTTAATTGCATTCCCTTGATCATATATGACCTTTTTGGACATCTTGGATTCCTTCAAGGCTATAATACCCTTCAAAAGACTCATTGACTTTTACAACTCATTTGTAAGAATCCTATTAGGTTACAATAATCATTTTGTCTAAAGAATTACCAATACAACTAAAAACCTAACACTATCAACTTGTTCCAACGTACGATAATAAGCTCATGAGCTTAGTTTTACTTCAATATTGAGAAATGAAAGAAAGACTTCCATATCATAGTTTTACTCATACGTAGCTCTCTTCTTTTTATTTTGACTGGGAAGAATATTGTCAAACCAAAGCTCTCTATGAAAAGGAGATGATCCACCCACACCTTCCAGTACAGCTACTTTGTTACAACTTCACTCTCGTCAGTAGCCCTGCCTTCTGCATCCCCCTCCTTCCAGTTTAAGTAATGACGTCGGGAATGGCGAGCTCACATTGTGTGATGAGCGGTGTGTAAACTAAAATTTTTGTTAATTCTTTTCTTATAGCAAAATGCAGTATGTATTTTCTAGTTCCATCAAGGATCACTGCACTTGGCAGGAGGCATTGGGCTGAATTTTTTTGACAAATCCATCCATGCATATGCAGAAAAATCATTATTCAAGACAGGATTATGGTTTGTGTATCAGAAAAACAAAGCATACCTTGATAGCAGGAAGAAATTTAGAATTTCGTTGACACATTTTAGCCAGTTGAGTTGAATCAAGAAAGCAAGAAGTTTAAACACAAACAAAAAAGGGTTCAAGTACAATCAGGAAAAAGGAGAAGATGGTTTCATTGTTTAAAAAAAGCAAAAAGTGACCATTACTACTCCACTGGTGCAATGCTATTGTCTTTGCAGACTACGAAGTGCAGGATTTAGGATTCTCAAGTTTGTCCAGTGCAGTGCCATTTCATGCAAGTAAAGACTATTTCTTGTACAAGAGAAAATTATTGAGAGTAGTTGTTTACGAGATGTAGGCAATGTTATATATTTATACAATAAATATAATATTTGACAGAAATAATTAATTAAGATGAAGTGCCCAACTGGTGAAAAGTGTGGAATTTGTGTGGGAGGTCAGGTGTTCGCGCC